CCTGGGTTCGATTCCTCAGCACCACATAAGAAAAAAGAAAAAAGCCGGAAGTGGCGCTGTGGCTCAAGTGGTAGAGCACTGGCCTTGAGCTGAGGGACAGCGCCTAGGCCCAGAGTTCAGGCCCATGACCAGACCCAAAAAAAAAAAAATGTTTTAGGGTTGGAGGCATGGCTCATGTGGTAGAGTGTAAGCAATGAGCAAAACCATCAGATACTAGCCAGGCACTGGTGGCTCACGCCTGTAATCCTAAGTATTCAGGAGGCTGAGATCTGAGGATCTCGGTTCAAAGCTATCCCAGGCAGGAAAGTCCATGAGACCCTTATCTCCAGTTAACCACCAGGAAACAGGAAATGGTGTTGTAGATCAAGTGGTAGAGCACTTTCCTTGAGCTGAATAACTCAGGGTCAGTGCCCAGTCCCAGAGTTCAAGTCCTATGACCAACAACGATAACAACAAAAGCATCAGATACTGAGTTCAAGTCCCAATTTCAGAGAATAAAAACAACCAATGGGGTTGGAGGCATGGCTCAGGTAATAGAATGTCAGCCAGTGAGCAAAAACATCAGATACCTAGTTCAGTTTCTTAGTTCAATATCAGGTCCAAGTCTTGAACAAAAAGAAGAAAATTATAGAGACTTCTAATTTAATATTTATTACTAAACATATCGTCTTTGAGAAATAGATTCTCTCTTAATTCTACCTCTGAATTTTATTTATAAATATTATTATATATTTCAGAAATAACACTGAACTGATTCTGAATTATCTGTCTTTGCTTCTTTCAAAGCATAAAGCTTTCAGATACTAGTAATTGTCTTGGAGAGTAAAAAGTAACATGCTTCAGCATTCTTCAGAACCTTAAGCAAAGTCTTTTTTAAGCTTCAGGAATCACATATCTAGAGAATCTGTTTTTGATATTAGGAAAAAAAGAGCAATGACGGAGAGAATATCAGGTTACTTTCCAATAAGCCTTTTTTTTTTTTCTTTCAAGTCCTGGGCTTGAACTCAGAGCCTAAGCACTATCCCTGAGTTTCTTTTGCTCAAGATTTACACTCTACCACTTGAGCCACAGTGCCACTTCCAGCTTTTTCTGTTTATGTGATACTGAGGAATCAAACCCAGGGCTTCCTCTACCTACCACTAAACCACATCCCCAACTCCAATGTTCTTACCTTATTATATCACTATACTTCTTTCATTGGGTTTAGTTTTGATGTGTTGATGTACAAGGAACTAGAACATAATACCCCTGCAGTATCAACTTGCATAATAAAAGTCCGTGCTTTTATGTTTAATTTTGTGTGTCTGCCTGTGCATGCATGCACTCCATAGTTTGAACTCAGGGCCTCACGCTTTCATTTGGTGTTATTTTTTTTTCCTTTTTTGGTTACAGTCCTGGGACTTGAACTCAGTGTCTGGACACTGTCCCTGAGCTTCTTTTCTTTTCTATTTTTTTTTTTGCCAGTCCTGGGGCTTGAGGTCAGGGCCTGGGCACTGTCCTTGAGCTTCTTTTGTTCAAGGCAAGCACTCTACCACTTGAGCCACAATACCACTTCCAGCTTTTTCTGTGTATGTGGTACTGAGGATCGAACCCAGGGCTTCATGCATGCTAGGCAAGCACTCTACCACTAAGCCATATTCCCAGCTCCTGAGCTTCTTTTCTTCCTCAAGGCTAGCACTCTGCCACTTAAGCTACACCTCCCTCCACTCTGGCTTTGCAGTGGTTAGATGGTGAGAGAGTCTCACAGACCTTCCTGTCCAGGCTGGCTTCAAACTACAAGCCTCAGGTCTCAGCCTCCTGAGTTGCTAGGATTATAGGTGTAAGCCACCAGTGCCCAGCTTCACTTGGCTTTCTTGCTCACCACTGGTGCTTTATCACTTGAGCTATGCCTATAGTCTTGCCATTTGACTGTTTAATTGGAGATGGAGTCTCATGTTTTTATCTGCTTAAGCAGATAAGCCTCCTATTTCAGCCTCCTGTGTAGCTAGAATTACAGGCAGAGCCACCAGAATCCAACTGTATTTTTATGTTTAAGTGACATAAATATACATTTTTAAATCTTCCTGTTTGTTGAAGATTCCCTTTTTACATTTATAACTTTATAAGCTATGTAAGTCTATAGATAGATTAGATTTTTAGGTTTTTTTTGGTGGGGGGGGGTCTGTCGTGGGACTTGAACTCTGGGCTTGGGCGTTGTCCCTGCGCTCTTCAGCTCAAGGCGAGCACTCTACCACTTGAGCCACAGTGCCAATTCCAGTTTTCTAATGGTTTATTGGAGATAAAGAGTCTCATGGACTTTCCTGCCCAGGCTGGCTTTGAACCACGATCCTCAGATCTCAGCCTCCTATTGTAGCTAGGATTACAGGCGTGAGCCACTGGCGCCTGGCTTTAGTATTTCATTTTAAAGAAACTTATTTTCATGACTAAACAAGAGACCCATTCATTCAACTAAATTACTCTAAACTCTGAACAATTACAATAGTTTCAGTTTTTCAAAGAAAATTTTGTAGATTTTATTATTTTTTAATGTTTTAATCTCCCCCTGGGGTCCTTTTGTTTGACTTTCTACCTTTCATTGTTCTTCAGTCTTTGTTTTAACTAATTAGTGGTGTGTCTGTGTGTGTGTGTGTGTGTGTGTGCGCGCATGCGCATGTGTGTGCGTGCATGTGTGTGCATGGATGTGCGTGTATGTTGCACACCTGTTTGGGGCTTAAACTCAGGGGCTGGGCATTGTCCTTGAGCTTTTTTGCTCTATCACTTAAGCCACAGCTCCACTTCCAACTTTTTTGGTGGTACATTAATGATAAGAGTCTCATGGGTTGGGTACCAGTGACTCACTGTAATCCTAGCTACTCAAGAGACTGAGATCTTAGGATCATGGTTCAAACCAGCCCAGGCAGGAAAGTCCATGAGACTCTTACTGCCAAATAACCACCAGAAAACCAGAAGTGGCGCTGTGGCTCAAGTGGTACAAGTGCTTGCCTAGAGCTGAAGAGCTCAGGGACAGTGCCCAGGCCCAGAGTTCAAGCCCCACAACCAACAACAACAACAAAAGAGTCTCATGGACTTTCCTACCTGCTCTAGCTTTAAACCATGATCCTCAGATCTGTCAACCATGATGCTTTTTGTTTTCCTAGAAAACATGACAAAACCAAGTATGTCATCACATGTACTATCAAGGCAGCAAGTTCGTGCTCTTCAGGATGGAGCAGAGCTTTATGAAGCAGTAAGGAATGCACCAGACCCAGATTACCTTCAGGTGAGAGTAAGAGGTAGATGACAGAAAGAAAAAATATACTTAAACGCTTAAAAAGATAAAAACAAAGATCTTATAAGGTCTTAATTTCTTTGTTCTCATCTCTTTCTCAGTTTGTTTTAGGATTTTTCATGGTATGCCTTAAGCATACTAAAATGGGAATCTTTCAGAAGCTGTGAACTATTAGAAATAACATGGGCTTTAGAACCACAGGTTTATTGCTTATTAACTAAGCAAACTGGAAACAAAGTAGCTATAAAATGAGACTAGAATATCATACTTTAGGATCAAATTAGATAATATATCTAAAGATTCCACATAAAAAATTAGATAAGCTGGGTGCTGGTGGCCCACTCCTGTAATCCTAGCTACTCAGGAGGCTAAGGTCTAAGGATCATGGTTCAAAGCCAGCCCAGGCAGGAAAATTCATGAGACACTTATCGCTCATTAGCCACCAGAAAACTAGAACTGGCACTGTGGCTCAATTGGTAGAGCTCTCGCCTTGAGCTGAAGAGCTCAGGGACAGCACCCAGGCCCAAAGTTCAAGCCCTACAACCAACAACAACAACAAAACAAATAGGTAAGTGTTCCATATAAATGTAATATACCAGGCTGAGAATGTGGCTTAGTGGTAGTGTGCTTGTCCCTGGGTTCCATTCCTTAGTACCACATAAACGGAAAAGGTCAGAAGTGATGTTGACTCAAGTGGTAGAGTGCTAGCCTTGAGAAAAAGAAGCTTAGTGACAGTTCCCCAACCTTGAGTTCAAACCCCAGAACTGGAAAAAAAATAAATGTAATATACCTCTTAACTTTCAACACCTTGATGTCTAAAACAATATAGGAGGAGGGAAGGAAAGAGAAAAATTTTAAAGTTCAAGGATTTGCTACATAAGAGAGGGATGGTACATGTTAGGGAAACTGATGATTATTTATTGTTCTCATTTACTTCATGATTTAATACATATTATGAATAATTTCAACTTTCTTAAATAGTATACTATAAAATAATTAGTATTCCATCAGTAAGGTGAGCAGTTCTATCTAAATAGAATTCCCTCAGTTCTCCAGTCTTAACAACTTGAACTTGTCCTGTGAGAAGTGAGTCTCATTTTAAAGCCTGTAAGTATTCTTGCTGGAAAACTCTTAAATTTAAGCTTTATTTGTGGAAGCTCATATAGTTTCGTCTACAAAAAATTAACAAAATATCAGATCTCCTTTTTTGGCATTTACCTATATTATAAGAAGGAAATAGGGGACAGAATGAGATCTAGAAGACTGAGTAGCTGAATAAGCAACTTATCTTTTTTTTTGTCAGTCATTGGCTTCAATACATGGCCTGGGCGGGGGAAGGCTGGGAAGGGATGTGAAGGGCAAACAAAGGAGGAGGCTACAATGCTTGATAAGAAATGTACTCATTATCTTGCCCATGTAATTGTAACCCCTCTGTACAGTATGTTCACAATTAAAAAAAAAAAATACAGGGCCTGGGCACTGTCCCAGAGCTGCTGCACTGAAAGTTTGTGCTCACCACTCTGAGCCACAGCACTACTTCCAGTTTTCTGGTGGTTAATTGGAGATAAGAGTCTCATGGCCTTCTGTCCAGACTTGCTTTGAACTTCAAACCTTAGATCTCAGCCTCCTTAGTTGGTAGGATTACAGGTATGAGCCCTCTGAACCTAGCTAGGATTACAGGTGTGAACCACTGGCTCCAACTTAGCAACTTACCTCTTAAGGCCCCATTCTTACCCATTTCTTAGGGTTTTTTCCCATCTGCTATCAAGTGAAAACTTAAAAAGTAGGTTATTTCTAAGGCTCTAACACATATGATTGAGATTTTGAGTTAGATAAAATTATCATACTTCTTAGAGGAGAAAAAAGCCAGAAATTTCTAAAATAGCCCTGTTAAAAGAACTGTAATGCTGAATGTGTAGGCCTTCACAAAATACATATTAAAAGAAAAATTCATGTTCAAAGTAAACACTGTCTATGTATTTAGGAAGACATCTATATGGTATAAATATTGTATCATCTCCCTTCCCTTAGGAATATTCCATGAAGATGTTCAAGTGTATGACAACAGCAGTCTAGTATGTTAAATGTCTAGATTCCATTTCCTGTTTTACTATTCATTTATTATTTTTGTTAAAAGTTTTTATGATCCCTGAGTAGGAGAAAAGGCAGAGCTAAAAGTGCTTGTAGCACATGTCTCTTAAATTATATCTACCCTTCTGACGAGTTATTAAATTGTTACAGAAGCTAAGAATGAAGGGTTTTGAGTCAACCTCTCCCTGTGTCCTGTGCAGCCATTTATTCCCTGTGCCTCAGTGTCATCAACTGTAGCATGGAAACAACTTACATAGTAATCAGAGAACCTCCACCCAGATCACATGAATGTTGTGAGGATTAAATGAATGAGTACATATACCAAACAGAAATCTTCTCAAATAGTGTCCATTCATTGTTAGCCATCTATTGTGTAGTTGGTTATGATTATGATTAGAGTATGTCTATATAGAGAGGCTTAAGAAACCCAAATCTGCCTGGGCACTGGTGGCTTACGCCTGTAAATCCTAGCTACTCAGGAGGCTGAGAGATGAGGATCCCAGTTCGAAGACAGCTTGGGCAGAAAAGTCCCGGTGAGACTCTTATCTCCAATTAACCACTCAAGAACTGGAAAATGTGTTTCAAAGTGGTAGAGCTCTAGCTTTGAGTGAAAGAGCTCAAGGACAGTGCCCAGGCCCTGAGTTCAAGCCCCATGACTGACAAAAAAAAAATCTTTTTAAAAAATTAAATCTGTTTGATTTTATTCCTACTTAAATCAGTCTAGTTACAGTAGGTGGGACTTTTTGCTTTGTTTACCCTTTATTTTAATGTTTAAATGGTCACAGAGTTACTTCAGTGAAGAGCAGTTAAGAGCCTTGAATAATCACAAACAAATGTTGAATGATAAAAAACAAGCACAGATCCAGTTGGAATTCCAGAAGGCGATGGAATCTGCTGAAAAGGTGGAAGAACGTTTATCAAGGGATGTTACACCTGTGTGGAAGTTGTGTATTGTAAGCTATGGGAAAAAAGGAAGAGATGCAGGTTAGTATGCAAATTTGTTTTTATTTTATCTTTTATCCTTTTGTTTTTATAGTTTCTTAATTTAAAATATGACTTTAATGAAATGATTGCTTATCAGGTAGTCTAAAATCGGTGTGTATCAAAGGCACAAATCAGCTATCAGTTACTCACAAAATAATAATCCAATATTTTAATCTTCATTATCTGTCTATGTTTACTTTTAACCAAATGATTACTAGTTCTTCCCATTGTGTCTTCTTCATCTTTCCATAGTTACCTTGAGCATCTGGCGTCCATCATCAGCCGTACTGTCCCTGTTAACAGAGGGAAACAGATACAGAATCTATCATCTTGCAACATCAAAATCGAAATGCAAATCTGAAAGAGCCAACATACAGTTGACAGCAACAAAAAGAACTCAGTATCAACAATTACCAGTACCGTCCTTTCATTATAACTTTTCAATTTTGATAAGTTCCTATTTGTTTATAGAATCTTCATATACTGAATGTTTGTTTTGTTTTCTTTAGGCTTCAGATGAAATCTTATTCCAAGTTTACCAGCCAAGAGAGCCCCTTCAGTTCAGCAGACTATTAGATCCAGACTTTCAGTCACCTTGTTCTGAAGTGGACCTAATAGGGTTTGTAGTTTCTGTTGTGAAAAAAATAGGTGAGGCACAACATGCTTAATCATAACTTTTTGAAAAACTTGTCTTTTGAGCTTTCTTTTCTTAATAATTAGTTGAAACTAACAGCTGGCAATTTTCCTAACTTAGTGATGTGAATAAGACCTCTTTTTAACCTTTATTTTCCCTTTTCTTTTCTTTTTTTCCCCCAGTCCTGGGGCTTGAGACTCCCTGAGCTTCTTTTTTGCTCAAGGCTAGCATTCTACCACTTGAGCCACAGCTCCACTTCCAGCTTTTTTGGTACTGATGAATTGAACCCAGGGCTTCATGCATGCTAGGCAAGCACTCTACCACTGGAGCCACATTCCCAGCCCTCTATTACTTTTCTTTCATAGTACTGAGATTTAAACTGTTTCATGCTTATTGAACTGACGCTCTGACACTTGAGCCATACCTCTAGCCCTTGTTTTCGTTGGTTATTTTTTATTATACAGGGAGGAATTTCATTGCTACTTTTCCACCCATGTTTATAATGTTTTCCAGTCAATCTTTATCACTTTCTCTTTCCTGCTTCCCAAAACAGTTTCACAGGTTTTATTGTCCTCTTCATTTATGCAAATCATCTATTTCATTCTCATATTCATCATATTCATTCTCTTCCATTATATTCATTCTCATATTCATCATATTCATTCTCTTCCATCCTCCTTTTAGCCCAACTCCCTCCCACTATCACCCACTCCCTACAAAACCTATTTCTCCCAACTTTTTTTTCTGGTTATTTTGAAATTACTTACCTATTTGTTTATTTACTTACACAGCACTTTATGTTCTTGCTTTCACTCTACCACTTGACCCATGCATTCAGTCCAATATTTTGCTGGTTTCTTAGAATGTCATGGGTTTTTCTGCTATCCTGACTTTGAACCACATCCTCAGATTTTGGGTTCTGGAGTAGCTAGGATTAAAGAGAGCCACCAGCACCTGCTAGAATTCTTAACACTGGGTAAATGACTGGAGGATAGCTTAGTGGCAAAACTTTTGCCACTTTCAACCACAAGGCCTGGTTCCTCAGCACTGCTCAGATAGAGGAGAACTAGCTGTGGACGCTTGCATTGAATTGGGTTAGTGTTATATGTTAGCTGAGGGGAGGGCTGGTCAAGGTTAGTTACCACTTGTGTGCTGTTTCCACCATGGAAGTTTCTTTTCTTTGTGTAGTAGAAATCACTGCTGGTGGCAAAATGGTAGGCTTGGCCAGTCAAGATCCCATTTGCTGAATAGGTTCCTCTGTTTGTGGAACTCATGGTGTTTCCCCTAGTGTGCAGCAGCAGCAGGAACAAATACCTGAGTTCTGTCCTTATGGTGGAGACTTTGGGATACACTGGAGGATCTGTACCTGGGTCCATTGTAGATATATTCTGAGACAGGGATCCCATGCCTTGTTAGAATGAAGAATTGATAAAGCCACCAAGAATTTGTGCACGTTCAGAGTAGCTCACACTATAAGAGTACAGAACATTTTTCTTATTCTTTTGATTTCAGAATGATTTAATCCCACATTCTAAAGGTATGTTAAAAACTTCTTCCAGAACTATCATGATGGCTCATGACTGTAACCCTAGCTACTCTGTAGGCTGAGGTAGGAGTTTCTGGATTTCAAGACCAGCCTGGGCAACTTAGTGAGATTCCTACCTCAAAATAAAATTCTCCCTAATGGAATGATTCATACAAGATGCATTGAGGTTAGAGAAATAACTAAAGTTTTCATGCAGTTTAATTCTAGTAGGAACCTCTCCCTGTGTATACTTATTTTCATTCTTTGTGCTATTTTAAATATTTTTCAGTAAGCATATATTGTTTTCAAGGTTGGAGAAAACAAGGTATTTTAAAGAAGACATTTGAGAGAAGGACGGTGATACAATCAAATTTTGAATATAATTAAAGGCAGATTCCAAAATTAGGAAACTGCATGTGTTTGGTAAAATATATCTATAAGCAGTGATTCACTAAATAAATGTATAAAGTGGGAGGTAAGAGGTTTCAGTGTGATAAATCATTATGTGAGAATGACAGTGCTTCTGTTCCTACCATTTATTGGGGAAAGGAAACTTTCAGAGTAAGAAACCCTAAAGGATTAGATGCTTACTGCCAAGAATAACAAGAGCTTTCATTAGCCTCAGTGCTGCAGTGCTGTTGTGGCTTATCCAATAGCATTTTGCCTCCTTTTTTTTTTTTTCCCAGTCATGGGTCTTCAATTCTGGGCCTGGGTGCTGTCCCTGAGCTCTTCAGCTCAAGGCATGCATTCTTCCCCTTGAGCCACAGCGCCACTTCCAGTTTTCTGGTGGTTAATTGGAGATAAGAAATTCACAATGACTTTCCTTTCCGGGCTGGCTTTGAACTGCAAGACTCAGATCTCAGCCTTCTGAGTAGCTAGGATTACAGGCATTAGTCACCAGTGTTCAGCTTATCTTTGCCCATTTTTGACATTAGAAATTTCACTTTTTTTTGGCAGTAATAATGTTTGCACTCACGGCCTTGTTAGGCAAGCTGTCTGTGCTCACAGCCCTTTTTTCTTTCTTTCTTTTTTCTTTCTCTTTTTTTGAAACTGGGTCAGCGCAGGCTGACTTTGAACTCATAATCTCCCTCCCTCAGCCTCCTGAACGCTGGGATTATAGGTATGTGCCACCACACCTAGCTATCTTATATCTGAACTAATTCCGGACATTCAGAAAAACTTACAAAAACAGTTACCAGGTACTCCTCACTCACTATCTGCTGTTACCTTGCTTGTCTGAGGTAATTACTAGAATCAAAGTTGACATTGGCACAGTGCTCCGACCTATGCTGCAAGACTTGTTTACATTATTTGAGTTTGAAGGAGTTTGAGCTTTTTAGGTTGACAAGCCTCCTTCACGTTTTGAACACTACTGCTTTTGGGCAACCCTTGAGATCCCAGGTTCATCATATGTTCCCTGCCCCAATCCTGGAATCAACCAATGCTCTTCGGAACACTGGTTCTCTTTAAGAAACTAAATGTAAACTGATTTAATCTTAGTTTTAAGCTGATCTAGAACCACAGTCCATTAACTGGTTGTAAGAGTCAGACCTATATAAACCCTACTCCTCACTCACCAGTGTTGCCTGCGCCTGCCACGTACTGTCCCTCCGCTCCTCGTTTAGCCTTCCTCTATTTCTTTGCTCTGTTGTACATGTGCACATCTTTTCTTCTGTCTCCTTTCTTACAAAGTTAACGTGTTTTAGTCTTTCTTCTTCACTTAATACTACATCCTGTAAATCAGTTGTTATGCTGGTTTAATATATATCCAGGTGCTGGTGGCTCACAACTGCAATCCTAGCTACTCAGAAGGCTGAGATCCAAGGATTGCAGTTCAAAGCCAGCCCAGACAGAAAAGTCTCCCATGAAACTCCTATCTCCAATTAACTACTCAAAAACCAGAAAGAGAACTGTGGCTCCAAGTGGTACAAGGCTAGCCTTGAATGAAAGAGCTTAGGGACAGTACCCAGGCCCTGAGTTCAGGCCCCATAACTGACAATAAAAAAACTTTAAAAAAATATATATATATCCCACACACATGCCATGACTGACAAAAAAACAAAACACCATATATATATATATATTCCGTCATATATACCATACACATATATACACAGCATATATATAAAACATACATGTACATACTGTGTGTATATACTATTAATAGTATAATGGCTGCAGCCTACTTCACCCAACCACACTGTCCTGTATGAGCTAATCACTACAGGAAGCACAGACAGTTCATTCCCAGCCATGAACTTTGTTCATGTGTACATTACTATTGGAGATTTGGCTTCAGAGTAGATTGCTACAAGTGGGATTACTGTGCAGGGAAAGCTAAATGCATCTGTAGCTTTGCGGGCATTGTGAGATTTTCCTCCAGAAGGATTTCACAAATCTGTATAGTCCAGCATTATATGTGTATATCTGCTATCCTTTGGCCTTGGTGACTGAATGTATTGGCATTGACATGTTAACATTTAATCAACTTGTCATTTTTTTAATCCTGAGTTTTCTCTAAAATTTGTTTTTTTTGTTTTTTGTTTTTTGTCGGCCGTGGGGCTTGAACTCTGGGCCTGGGTGCTGTCCCTCAGCTCTTCAGCTCAAGGTGAGCGCTCTACCACTTGAGCTACAGCGCCACTTCTGGCTTTTTTTTTTCTTTTTGCTTATGCGGTGCTGAGGAATAGAACCCAGGGCCTTATGCATGCAAGGCAAGCGCTCTACCACTGAGCCACCTTCCCAGCCCCTCCTCCAGCTTTTTGATACTATCTTTATCCTCTTCTGAAAAATAATTTACTTTGTGAATAGGAATAATGATATGAAATGTTGTTTTGGTTGGTTCTGAGGCTTGAACTTGTGGCCTGGGCACTGTCCCTGAGTTCTTTTTGCTCAAGGATAGCACTCTACCACTTGAACGACAACCACTTCTGGTTTTCTGGTGGTTAATTAGAGATAAGAGTTTTACAGACTTTCCTGCTCCAGCTGGCTTCAAACCACCATCCTCAGAACTTGGCCTCCTGAGTAGCTAGGATTACAGGAGTGAGCCACCAGCACCTAGCCTGATACGAAGTTTTTTAAAATCATCAGCTAGCATGTGCATGGCTAAGTATTATTAAGGAACGGTTAATTTGATTTTGTTTTATATACTAGTACATAACTATGATTATGCCTTTGTTTTATTATAAGTCTTCTCCTAGTAGCAAGCAAAATTACCAGAGTCATCTATCACTTTGTACACCAAAAGAAAAGTGTTTGCCCAACCCTGTTTCTGCCCAGATGATCTCAGAATCTTCACATAAAGAGGAAAAAGAGATTGATGACCCCAAAACGTGCAAGAAGAGAAGAGCCTTGGATTTCCTGACTCGACTGCCTTTACCTCCCCCTGTGAGTCCCATTTGTACATTTGTTTCTCCAGCCGCACAGAAGGCGTTTCAGCCACCACGGAGTTGTGGCACCAAGCACAGAACACCTACGAAGAGGAAAGAACTGAATTTTCCTCAGGTGACTCCGTTTAAAAAGGTCAATGAAATTTCTCTTTTGGAACGTGACTCAATAGCTGATGAAGAACTGGCATTGTTAAATACCCAATCCCTTGTGTCTGATTCCATGGGAGAAAGCCACTTGCTCATCAGGGAATCCAAGAGGACTACTCCGTCTAGTACCCAAGATCACCTTGGACAGAAAAAGCAGCAGATGAGTCCCTGATGGGGGGACAAGGGAACCCCCAAGCTGGCACCAAAGAATGTGAGAAAGTGACAATAACTTGGTTTTTGTACGACATAGACGGTTTCCAAGTGCACACAGTATTTGTGTAACACGAAAAGGCTTGAAACAGTTTCAAATTTACCTAAGTGTTGTATATCATAGGGATTCTTTGCTTTGTTCTATATTGATGTGTTTTTATTTCAGTTGTCTACCATACAATTGACTATTTACTGTCTACTCAAAAACTCTTGTTTAAAATTTTTTTATTAAATCTGTTCACTACTAGTACTATTTTACAAATCAAATAAACATACCTTGTTCTTTCACATTATATAATTGAAACAAAATTTTTAAGATTCATTATTTTGGCCCAGGTAATTCCTTAAATGTTTAGTCCCTACTTTAGAAGGTTTTGTATGAAATCATTTCCTTAATGAATGCACTGATTCAGACTAGATTTCCATTCTGTTCAAAAGTCAGAGTGAACCAGGTACCAAAGGCTCAGGCCTGTAATCCTAACTATTCAGGAGGCTGAGATCCAAGGATCCTGGTTCAAATAGCAAGAAAGTCTGGGAGAACCTTACCTCCAAAAAGACATAGGTGGGGCTGTGACTTCCGTGGTAGAGCACTAGCCTTGAGCAGAAAAGCTCAGGAACAACGCCCAGGCCTTGAGTTCAAGCCTCATTTCTAGCAACAACAACAACAAAAAAAAAAAAAAAGTAAAAAAAGATATTTCAATTCTTCGTCCTGCAGTTGACATGACTAGAAGAAAAATACAACTTTCCAGGTAATTCCTTGTATGAGACCAGTATGATCTCAGTACTTGAACTAAAAAATCAAATACTCCCAAATCAAAAACAGATTGCATAGTTTTAGGGTATTTTGTTTTGCTTTAAAACAGTTAACCAGACTGCAGTTTCAGAGAGCATCTTGCTGCCAGATATTACTGATTGCACCTGCCTTACCTTTCTCACAGTGACAGGATATGGATTGTGTATCTGCTAACCTGTCTCCATTGCAGAAGAAACAGCAGAAATTTAAGGCAGTGCCTTCACTTGCTACTTACATCTAATAGAGAAAAGGGATAAAGCAGTTGGAACTCAGAACTAGTAGCATGAAGCTGACAAATCCTTAATGTTTCGTAAGTTCATATATGATCCTGTGCTTCCAAACCTCATTATAAACAACATCAAAGCCAAGAACAAATACTTTTAAAATTGAACTTGTTTCTTTCCTTCTCTGTGATCCATGAATTTAAGTCTAAATCACACAGTGATCCACTCTTACATGGAATAAAACTGGAGTTTCAAGCCAGGCACTGGTAGCTCACGCCTTTAATCCTAGCTACTCAAGAGGCTGAGATCTGAGGATCATGGTTCAAAGCCAGCCCAGGCAGGAAAGTCCATGAGACTCTTATCTGCAATAAACCACCCGAAACCAGAAGTGGCATTGTGGCCCAAGTGGTAGAGTGCTAGCTTTGAGTTGAAGAGCTGAGGGACAGCGCCCAGGCCCAGAGTTCAAGCCCCATGACCCAAAAATAACTGGAGTTTCACATTAATTAGGAAGAATTATAATTTAACCTGCTTTTTTTGGGATCTGCTCTTTTTGGATCCTAGGAAAAAATTCTATTACCTCCCCCATTCTCATTCATACCATTTATATAGACAAACCTACATGAACCAAGTGTGAAGCTTGAGTATGTGTTTATATTATCCCCTGAAAGTGACAGTTTAATGATTATTAAGTCCACAATGGAAATTTCCTGGCATAGGGTAAATGGTGAAAGCATTCTGTATAATTCAACAATCACTTATTGAGCCTATTCTGTTCAGTGTTCTTTGCCAGCTCTTTGAGTAATGCAGACAGTAATACACAAAGTAATGCTAGTCGGTATTGGATATTCATAAGATCTTATCAATCAGAAGCCAGGGGAATGGAAACAAAACATAGATCACTTCTAGGTGGGATAAAATTGGTAGCATTTAATCAGCTAATATTTATGCTTCCAAAGTATTTAATGATCATCTAGGAAGAGCCCTTAGTTGGCAGGAAACTCTCAGGGCTCTACAAAAGCTTTGGATCTGTGGCCCAGAGCCATTGATAGTTACTCATATCCCAAGTGAACCAAACGATATGCAGAGATCCAGCCAAATCAAGACACTTAATCTGTCTCTATAGACTGCTCACTTCTGTGGAGCCAAAGGCAATTCCCAGTTTGGGCTGTGACACTTCCCTCTACTACCTAGACAAGCTGAGTCATCAACATGGAGGTGACTGTGCGATAAGCACATTGACTAAGACACTCAGATCACCTAGAGCTGGAAAGCAGAACTATTGGGTTATTGCTATCATAGGATCACTCTGCTATTCTTAAGCATGTAGAATTTGGCAAAACTTTAATAGCTTAGATTCATTCAAATTTACATTAATCTACCAAGCTTTCTTACTCAAAAGAGATGCCAACTTAAAAAACATTAATAAAGAAAAATGATAGCTATATTACTCATTAATTTCTCAAGTTGTTGAGTAGGGTTTTTTGTTGTTGTTGTTGTTTTGGGTAATTGGTTGTTTTCCCATGGTACTGAGATTTGAACTCAGGGCACATTCTACCAGTTGAGCCAAATTCCCAGCCCTTTTTTGCTTTTAATTAATTTTCAGAAAATGTCATGCTTTCTCCTACATATACTTCTCGCATAGCCTGGAATGTAGGCGTGGACCACTAGCGCCAGCTGATTTGTTGAAGTGGGTATATCATTAACTTTTTTCAGCCTGCCTCCTGCACAGCTGGGATTATAGCCTTGTACCACCACCCTTGAGGAGATTTCTGCATGTTAGGTAATAGGATGTTGAATTAAAATTATCTTTCGGGCTGGGAAGGTGGCTCAGTGGTAGAGCGCTTGCCTTGCATGCCTGAGGCCCTGGGTTCGATTCCTCACATAAGCAAAAAGAAAAAAGCTAGAAGTAGTGCTGTGGCTCAAGTGGTAGAGAGCTAGCCTTGAGCTGAAGAGCTGAGGGACAGCACCCAGGCCCAGAGTTCAGGTCCCACGCCCGGACCCAAAAAAAAAATTATCTTTCTAATGTGCACAGGTTTATATAAGCATTAAAAGTATTAAAAAAAAAATTACCTAGCACACAAGCTATTGTATAGAAAAGGTGGTTTCTTTGTGGTTAAATTACTTGGGATTTAGGCAAATGTTTTTATCATTAAAAGAATTCAATGACACATCCATATAAATGCAATACCATATACAATTTAATAACCATAAAAGCACCATTATATAAGACACTTAAAATAATATATCACAACATTAGAAAGAAGCTGTTGGCCAACAAGAGAGCATACATCTACATGGTCTTGTTTATCATAGCCTCACACATTTGATGAGAACCTGTTGGGATTACCCTGGATTCATAATTTAAGTTCTGGTCTAAGAGGGTCATTCCAGAGTGTGATGGAACCCTATTGTGTCAGATAATACTGCAGAAACTACCAACACTGCTCATCTTGCAGTGAGCATGGCTTTCACACATCCTCACTGGATCAAATGCTTGTCTGCTACATTCCTTGCATACAAACATCTGGTTTGCCAACTAATCATACAAATTTATAGGCACAACTTTAGGAATCGTTTTAATATTTCCTGTTAAAAACGTGTTTTATGAAGGCAGGTTTATTTTGCTTACACTTAGACAATAGCCAAAAGTTAAGTCTGATACTGCTAAAGCAATTAAACAAAAGGTGTGACCCTAATGATACTCAGTTTCCTTAAGTAGCTTGTATCCCTTATTAAGGATTTGATGTTTTTTTAACCTTGATGTTTCATTAAAATAAAGGAGTAGCTTCTCAAAGTGTCCACTTTGAAGGACAAATGCCCTTGTGTGTATACTTGCTAGGGTGTTACTTTTAAAGGAAAAGCAGTATCATTAGAGTCCTAAGGATTTTAATATATCAAGGTAGCAATGGCACTAAGCAGTTTCCGCCTCTTGTTTTCCCCCATCTTTCAAACTTCCCTGATGGAGATGAAATTTCCTGAAATAGTAAATGGGTTACTTCAGAGACAGTGGTACTGAAGCTTATGTATATAAACACGGTTTCATTTATGAACCTATGTCACTGATTACATTCTTGGATTTTAGTTTCCAGTTCTCTCCCTGGAGAAAGACACTTTAATCCAACTTGCAGACTCTCCAGCCTCAGACCATGCGTATGGGTGCACTGTAACAATGTGTGTTGAAGGTGATGAATATAATGACCTCTGCTCAGAAACTTGGGGGTTCAAATATTTACACTGGAATTAGAGCTCTGACTAAAATGTGAACAAAAAATAAATACCAAAAATCGAAGTAAAAACTTATTTAGGAAAATTCTCCATGGCTGTCAGACGGGCTTCTAATACCCATGGTGACAGCCTCCCCTTCTGCTAAAGGAGCTCTCGTGTGCGAAGCCACCGCCATGCGCTCTCCGGTTTGGAAACTCAGAGTAGGTATTCCAGTATCCTCCGCCGTTGGAAGGTGATGCATTATTCCTGTCCTGGTTCCTGCTCATTCTGCTCGGTTTTTCTGCATGAAGTACACTGTGAAAGGTAACATCGTGTTCATACCGTTCTTTCATTCGGTGTATTTTTTCTCTTGGGACTCCGTGAATGTTTCTTCTACATGGAAAAGAAATGTGGGTATTTAGTTAAGGCAGGATCTTGCGATGGGTTCCTTGCATTTACAAGCCCTGCATTACATAGATATCACACACTTTCCTCAGGATATAACTGGTAAAAGCATACTGTCTTGCCATTCCATTATCCTCCAGGCCCTAGTCCTGTTTTTCATGCTGCCCTTCCCCCTTCTAAACTAGCCTAAGCCTGGCCTTAGAAATGCTTTGTTCCTAGGAATCTCAATGACATGCTTCAAGACTCCAAACACTGGAATGATTTTAAGTCATGTGTTTGCCTGCTAAGGATATGCATCAAGGTCATCAAGGTAGATCAATCCATCCCTGATACAGCTAAAAGATGCATACTAAAATAACCTTAAACCGGGTGCCAGTGCCTCATACCTGTAATCCTAGCTACTCAGGAGGCTGAGATCTGAGGATCACAGTTCAGAGCCAGTCTGGGCAGGACTGTACATGGGACTCTTATCTCCAGTTAACCACCAGAAAATCAGAAGTGGCACTGTGGCTCAAGCAGTAGAGTGCTGACCTTGAGCTGAAGAGCTAAGGGACAGCACCCAATCCCAGAGTTCAAGCCCAAGCCCAACAAAATAATAATAATAATCTTAAGTCCTAGCTGGCATAAGTACCAACTGGTGGGAATATAGTTAGAAATGTAGTTACCCGCAATTACAATTATAGAATGGAGTCCGTGAACTAGGGCTTAACAACCCTGAGGCGGTCCTGTGAGGAGAGATCCACAGACTGGGGAAACGCTATCTGCGTTTAACCATAAGATGAACTAGCCTTACTCCTAAAATGTAAACAGTGATATAACTGGTTGTTTTAAGTCATGGACACAGATATCAGGTAATACAGGGTGTGACTATCAGAATTCATGCATTCAAAATCAAGTTAGTATTATTTGGACATTCCTTTTTTGCATATAAATTAGAAGCAGCATCTAACAGTAAACAGAGTCCACATTGTTCAACATCTAAAGATGTAAAGGCAGAAGCACCATTGACATGTGCATTCCCATGCAGAGGAAGGTGCTTTTAAATGCTCGTTAATGAAGAAGCAATTTAGCAGAATGTTAAAGTGTCCTTTAAAGGACCAAGTCCAAGCCAAGATTTAGCATTATATTACAAAACTGGCCCAAAACTAAAATCTTCACATCAATAATTCCAAAGTTATCAATTTCCAAGAATTACCATTTCTGGCCTGAAAACTACCAGTCCATTTCCAGCCTGAAAAGATTCTTTTGCTCGGTCTGAAATACCTGAAAATAGCAGGATACATAATGAGGAACTAGAAAAACAAAGAAGTACCTTGCTAACTCTTGAACGTTGAATTTCCAGCGAGTGTCAGGTTCTCGGAATATAACTTCATAGTTATTTTCAAGTGCCTGATTTTTCAAAAGTACATAAAACATTGAAGACATAGTATGTATGCTTGGGAATGTTTATGCTGCCATTTAACATTTACTACAAATCTTCTCTAAAATTTCTTCTGCTTTGCTAGTACTCCAATGCTTTATCTTAATGCACCTGGTTCATTTCCATATGTAATCACTCTTGTTTTATATTCTGGTCCCCAATGATACATTTTGGTTTTATCTAGTATGTAGAAGTTGAACATCTTTAAAAGTAGATCTCTGGATTAGCTTAAACTGTCCCAACACAGGTATAAACCATCTTGATGAATTCTCAAGGTCACTACCTTGGTTTAGAAGTGAGAATGTCAATGGACTAAAGGTAATGTCTACATGTTTTACATAATATTCCCTCAAGGAGCAGCTTTCCTTGCTACTACTGTAGCTCAATATACTGTGCCCCTTTCCTTGAGGTTCCTGTAAAAATCCAAATATCCTTTGTATTCACAAATTGACTACTGCTTTATCTTGTCACTGATGTGTTACAAAATACAGAATATTATGTTACAGAATACAAAAAGAGCTAAATGAGAAGATTTCCTCATAAATACATAGGAAGACGAGTAAGTTCTGGTGTACTGTTGCCCAGAAGGGTGATTAAAATATGTATTATATAAATCAGAGAATATTTTGAATGTTCTGTTCACAAAGAAATGATACATGTCACCTGAATATCCTGAATGGATCATTTCACATTGTATACATGTGCCGAAAAGTCTCACTACACTCTAGAGAGATGTGTAATCATTATTTTCTCAATTAATGCATACATTTAAATTGTCTTTATGGTTGCCCTTCCATTCTTTGATGGATACTTCTAATTAGTAAAAGATTCAACTAATATCTTGAAACCATCTGAGTCTGGTTTTAAAAAAAACTGCGTGGCTAAAGAAAAAAAATACTGTAAATATCTAGAAAACAAAAAGTAAAATAGCTTCCTGGAAATTCAGTTAATCCCTGATTTGGTTTTGAGTTGTGCTGTAATTCATCCCCCTCTTTATAGACCTGTTCATTTCTCACCCAAGCGGCCTCTCAATCATAAATACCCCACAGCTGATGCTCATTTTCTCTTACATTCAATCATGTCCCAAAGAATGCTGTTGTGCCCAAAATGTAACCTAAACATAGAGAGCCATGAATCCCGTGTAGGAGCTCCACAGCTTCAAGTGGAGATGGTGACATCAGTACAGTGTTCTCATGACTGCTTCCTGCCCCACCCTATACTTCCCCCTTCTATAGCCAACAGGCTATAAAGATTTAGTGGCATAAAAGACAAGAAGATGCCAGAAAAAAAAAATATCTGAAGGGACAACTATGCTGTGTGTCTGTTGTATTCTATTGTATTAATAGGGTGATAGTGTTGATTCCATTTTAAAAATAAAAAGTTGCGCTGGCCTGGCACTCACAGGCAGCAACAGTAGCCAGAGCTGAGAGCCCTGGCTGGCCCGAGGCAGACTTTCCCTAGTGTGACCCACAGCCCTGCTAGTCCACTCTTCTCTACAAGTTTCCATGCTGCTCCTCTGCAAAGAAAAGAACCAACACTGAAAAGCTACCAAGAATTCAGACCCAGGGCTATTTACCCAGGAATATTTTAAAAACTGTACCCTGAAGTGAAATTAGCATCTCAGCAGATTTCATTGAACATCAGAGAAAGACTAAAACTTCTTTACCTGCTCCATGCGAGAACTAAAATTAGTCACTGTCAACTCATGGCAGATCAGAAAGAAAAAGAGGAAAGAACAAACATTTCAACTTTCTCACAAAATGTCCATGACTGAAAATTCAGAATGATGCTTCTTCCTACCATGACTGCATAGGGCTTCATTTCCCAGGCGTGCAGGTTGGTATTATCAATTATAATGGGGGTTATGCCATTCCTCATTGCTTTTCTTGCTGCAATACAACGTCATACAACAGTGAACAACATGTAACAGTCAGAGGAGGGAGAGCCTTACCCATGTTTTGTCATGTTTTGGTTAGAGGATGTCCTCATTACACAATTCAATGCCACCTACTTTAGAACAATTAGGAGTCATTTTCTTTTTCCTAAGATCTAAAGAGGTTATGGTCTGACATTCCGCTTGGAAGAGTGGGGGGAATGGAGAAACTTTTGGCTACACTCCTTCCATAAACATATTCATACCGAGGCAGCTATGGTCTATGCGGCTCAACAAGGTTTCCCAGGAGTTTGGAAAGAAATTTGTCACCTCTTTTCTGGTTCCATTCGTGAGCTTCCTCCAGGAAGTCAGGATTGAACTCATAGGCACCGTCTTCCCTGAAGAAAAAATCATCCGTGCTGAAAATCAGGGCCCTGGGAAAGTCATGTTGCAATTGTCTGCAAAGTGGAGAAATGAAAGATTTCTTTTAATATATGCGTGGTTGTGGTAGAAATGATTCCCTTCCATCTCTAACATTTTGCATTTGGTAATTTATAATTCTGACACCACCAGCTTTTTGAGTTGTTGAACTCCCACTTAAAAAGAGAAACACTCTTGTTGTCTCTGGAAGGCACCACTACTGAACAGGAGGCAGGAGAGGGCTGAGACGTGGCCATGTATGGTCAACACTTGAAAGGACTCTGGTCACCATCACCGCCTCCTGCAGCAACTGCGACCAAATGAAGATAAAACTAGGGATGAGCTGAGGGCCCAATGCCTCTTTGAGGCACCAGGGCCCTCCAAGACATGCCCTGACCCATGTTGCAGCTCTTCTCTTGGCCCCTAAACTCTCGCCTGTCCTGGGGACCCATTTCCCCCAAGCTCTTTTCTCTGTAAGGACGCATCTGGTTCTTGCTGCGGTATGAGATGTGGATAAAGAGTGATGCATGTGTGCAACCTTACTCGGTAACATGGTTGTATTTTAATAACACCTAAGGCAAATGGAACAAGGCACGAGAGAAGGAAGGAGGTGATCTCAATATTCCCCATGTGTTTCTAGCTTCTACTACTCCCAGGTCTGGATCTGAAACTACCACTGGATGGTGGGGGTGCAGGGGGAGGAAGAAGAAAGGGAAGCATCATGCAGTGCCCCTTATAAGCAAATCAGAAATGGAGTATTCACCTCTGTCCAAAGAACTTCCAAGACAAGATGCTTCAGCTTGGAATCTTGGACTGTTTATTGACAGAAGGTGGTATTAGTCCAAGTAGTGACTGAGGGCAAGGAGAGGTGCAGAGCCTTCTTTCCTCGCCTGTAAAGGTTGAAGTGGATCGTGTGCAACTGGAGAATAGTTGGTGCAGCACCTTACACAACCAGCAGAACTAGCTTCTAACAGGTCCAGTTGCAAATGGGAACACATGACCAAATGCCATGCTCAGAACAAGATGGTGACAAGTTAGAAGAAAGAAAAAAAGACTGGAAAACCACAAGGGCAGGAAATGCAAAGAGCGGCCAAGCTATTCAACTCCTAGCTTTCCTTCCTGTTCCCCACAGAGAATTATCTTCATTGAGCAATAACGAGGAGCCGAAGACAATGACAAAACACCTGAGTGGCTCTGCCAGATCTAGGTTCATTTCTTGACTCTTCATCTATCCAGTCAGGTGACCTCACCTCTGAGGGCTTTATTTATAAAATATAATTTAAAAATTCCTATCCAGAGCTTTTGATAGGACTCAAATGAGTTAAAGTATGGGGAAAGTTTTTTGTAATAAAGGATAGTTTTGTTAGTAATAACAATGAGGTCAAATTCCCAGACCCATACTTTTACAAGCCATAGCAATAAAACACTGGCATATGTATGTGAAGTCATCTTTCCAAGTATTGCAGTGGATATAAGAGATGAAAGACAAAAAGAAAGCAGATGGCCAGGCCCTGGTGGCTCACACCTGTAAACCTAGTTACTCAGGAAGTTGAGATCTAAGGATTATAGTTCAAAGCCAGCCCAGGAAAGGAAAGTCTGTGAGACTCTTCTCTCCAATTAACCACCAGAAAACCTGAAATAGAGCTGTAGCCCAAAAGGGTAGTGCTAGCCTTGAGCAAAAGAGCTCAGGGACAGAGCCCAGGCCCTATGTTTGAAGTCCCACAACCACCAAAAAATAAATTAAAATTATAAATAACTAATATCTAACTAAATAAATAACTAATATCTAACTTATCCACAAAAAAGCAGATGTCTAACTTACCTGCATGTAAGTTAGGAACAGTAAACAAACATCTGCCAAAATTCTTCAAAAGACAGCACAGAGAACTGAAAAAGCAAATTCCAAATCAAATATAGGACTGGAAGGTGGTTTAGTGGTAAAGTGCTTGCCTAGCATGAAGCCCTGGGTTTTATTCCTTAGTACCACATAAACAGAAAAGGTCAGAAGTGGCACTATAGCTTAAGTGGTAGAGCGCTAGCCTTGAGCAAAAGAAGTTCAGGGAGCCAGGCGCCAGTGGCTCACACCTGTAATCCTAGCTACTCAGGAGGCTGAGATCTGAGGATCACTGTGCAAAGCCAGCCCGGGCAGGAAAGTCCATGAGACTCTTATCTCCAATAAACTACTAGAAAACCAGAAGTGGCACTGTGGCTCAAGTGGTAGAGCGCTCGCCTTGAGCTGGAGAGCTGAGGGATAGCGCCCTAGTCCAGAGTTCAGGCCCCACAACCGACCAAAAAAAACAACAAAAAAAAGAAGTTCAGGGACAGAGTTCAAGCCCCAGAACTGGCAAACAAACAAAATTTTCTTTGCTAACAGGTGTGATAGTACAGAGGAAATGTCAATGGACCTAGATCTTGATTTAAATAGCAATCCAATAGCCTGCCTTGGGCAACTATAATCCATAAGACAATATTTCAGACTATTAATTAGAGAACTTATTAAACACTTATTAGGAATTTAACATGTGCCAAGTGCAATGTGAAATGCTAAGGCACAAAGCATCATATTTGCTTTTAAGAATTCACAGCCCTTGGGGCTGGGAAGGTAGCTCAGTGGTAGAGTGTTTGCCTTGCAGGCATGAGGCCCTGGGTTCCATTCCTCAGCACCACATAAGCAAAAAGAAAAAAGCCAGAAGTGGCACTGTGGCTCTAGTGGTAGAGCGCTAGCCTTGAGCTGAAGAGCTGAGGGACAGAGCCCAGGCCCAGAGTTCAGGCCCCACGACCGGACACCCCCCCAAAAAAACATAATTCAGAGCCCACAGAGCCAGGCCCCTGCTAGCCTGGCACCACAGAAAATCTGTACCATAAAAGCACTAAGAGAACTTCCAGTCAAAAACAAGTTCTGACAAAAAGAGTTTTCTAAAGGAGACCTTTGACTTGAAACCTTGGATTCCTGGAGAAGTAGAGAGGATGAAATAGGGCAGGGGCAGGGACTCAGTTGGTACAGCACTATCCAATGAACAAAAGCATTAGGTGCTGAGTTTGAGTCCCAGTCTGAGACAGGGAAGGGAAGGAGAAGGAGAAGGAGAAGGAGAAGGAGAAGAGAAGAAGAAGGAGAAAAGGATGGGTCTGGGGATGTGATCTGTAATGGACCCCTTGCCTAGCATTCCTGAAAGTCAGTTTCAATTCCAAGATACTTCAAAGAAAAAAGGAAAGAAGGAAAGAAGGAAGGAAGGAAGGAAGAGAAGAAGGAAGGAAGGAAGGAAGGAAGGAAGGAAGGAAGGAAGGAAGGAAGGAAGGAAGGAAGGAAGAGAAGAAGGAAGGAGAGAGAAATAAATAGCATGAACAACTTCATGGAAAACAAAGAACAAAAGCACCAAGGCTTGTGAGTAAAAATAGTAAATCCTATTTGAAACTGAATTCAAATGTGATTTAAAGAAATCTGACAAAGAGGTCTACAGAAAAACAACCAGGTAAATCTAAAGAATGATATCAAATGAGCCAAAGATCATCAAAGAAATGTTTGGGTATAGATAAAAACAAATTATAAGCCAGATGCCCAACTGCTCAGGAAGCTGAGATTGGGATGACCAGTCTTGAGGCCAAACCAGACAAAAAGTTCATGAGAACTGCATCTTCACAAAAATAAATAAATCAAGCTGGGTGTGGTGGCTTGTACCTGCAGGAAGCTTAAATAAGATTATGCCAGGCACCAGAGTCCCACACCTGTAATCCTAGCTACTCAGGAAGCAGAGGTATGAGGATTGCAGTTCAAAGCCAGCCCAGGCAGGAAAGTCTGTGAGACTCTCATCTCCAATGAACCACCAAAAAAACAGAAATGGTGCTGTGGCTCAAGTGGTAGAGCACTTGCCTTGAGCTGAAGAGCTCAGGAAAAGCACCCAGGCCCAGGGTTCAAGCCCCAGGACTAGTGCACAAACTATTATTAATAATAATAATAACAATCAGAACAAAATGGACTGAGTGGGGGCTTACATAGTGGAATACCCTGAGCTCAAAGCCTAGTTCTGCTCCCCCCCCAAAAAAAACAAAATAATTCCTGATAATTATCCTCATCGTCAGCAATTTAGGCTAGACTCAACAATGCATTTGTAATAGTCTTGCCTGAGTCACTTGCTCAACTACAACCTCTGACAATGTGATGGGGGTAGAGGGTCCAGGTAAACCTCTCGCTAGCTTCTGCAGGGATGGCTGTTGCTGGCTCAGGCACCTTGCGGGCTTGTGGGAGGGCTCAACTAGGCCCCTTCGTCGTACAACCAGAGGGTCTGAGCAGCCACTGCGTGGTTTCCTCATCCTAGGTATCAAAACAAGTTGCGTTGCTGACCTGCAGTGAACGAAAATAGTTTCTACTTCTTCATGGAATGAGGAGCAAGGAAAATGTGGCAACTTTAAATCAACCACAGAGATGTAATAAGAAAGAAGGGAGAAGACAGAGGACAGGATGGAACAAATATTCATCATTTCCAAATTAAATGTCTGCTTTTTGATTTTAAAGCTACTCAAACAGAAAAGGCCAAGTCCTAAGTCCAAGCGGTAACCTCCAAGGCAAAGTCACAAAGATAACTCAGGAACAAAAACAAAGGGAGCTCCAGATGCATTTTTTAGATGTATATTCTACTCTTTTTTCTCTACTGTTTTATTTCTATTCTTTATTTCAGGTATGTCTATTTTACATTTATGATTACTGTAAAGTTTTTAAATTCTTTTCATCAGTATCATTTAGTCTACATAAGCTATGTTGAGAGAAGAAATTGTACTATATAACTTAACTCCCTTATATTGCAACTATGGAAACTGATTTCAAAATGTATTTTTCCTTTTAGTCCCAGATCTGAGGTCCCTTCCAAACCTGTTTCATTTGTTTTCCTAGCAAGTTCATCACCTATGGGGTTTGTTTTGTTTGGTAAACATTTTTAGAGTTGAGTTTTTCTTCTTATATCTATTACTTATCTACTCGGGTTTTCCTTAGTATTGACAGGCAGTTTATTTTTTTCTAACGTTTCCTTTGAAAAGGCTTTAAGAC